GAGGTTTATAGGTGAAAATTGTAAATTTAGAAATAAGTTTTATTTTTTCCTTTGAACTGAGATCAATATGTGATTTTTTGTTATTTCTTTAAAAGCATTTGTTTTTTAACAATTACAGCAGATGCAAATAATGTTCTGAGAGATTATCGAAAAACAATGGCCATTGAATAACATTTTTTGATAGTAGAAATAAAAGTTTTAAAAACGTTATTTCACTAACAAAGTAGAGGAATGACATACGTATACAGTACTTCAACTACCAAAATATGCAACTCATAGATAACCACAAACTTCACTTTTGTTAAAATATAAAATGAATTAACTTTACATGTTATAAACAATGCAAATAAACAGTATTTAAAGCATGTGGATCAATTGTGTGTTTGAATCACAAGTTCATGTATGGGAAAAGGGAGAGGCTTACTTTCTCGCAAACTTAGCAATAAATTGTCTGCTTAGAGTTTATTCAAAGAAGTACTGCTTTTAGTAAACTGAATAATTAGGAATACATTTATTTAAGCAACTAATTTAGTTGCATACTTGGTTTTTACTCATCACTAACTAAATCCAAGTGCCTACTACTACTGGCTTAGAAATATATAGTTATGTATGGCAATTATGCTAAGAATTAAAATGGTGTGCGATTGTGAGGGTAGGGTGATTATGGTAGGATTAAGTGGTATTGCTAAATCCCACAAACCTCCCAAAACACACTGTAGAAAATGAAACAATTCAATTGTGATTGGTATATCAATAATTATGATTGTAGAACTCTTGTTTTCTTTAAAAAAAAAAAATAATAATTTGATGTTCATACTAACCCACTGTTTGTGGGGTTTACCAATACACAGATTGAATTTCTGGAAAATTGTGATTCCGCTTCAGTGAAATCGGCCACAAGTAAATTATTTTAGTATTAATAAATGCATGATTTATGTTGATTTATTGATTATGTTGTTGCTGTTTTTTAACATTTAAATGGAAAAAAAAAATAATAATAAGTGTAATTCATGGCTTTTTATTTATCTTTGAATATTTTATCATTGAATATTAATTCTTGCAAAAAGTAAAATGTAAATGGCAATTTGTTTGTTAGATTCCTTTTAAAAACTAAATTATTTAAGATTAAAAAATGCATATATTGACTCAAGAAAATCAGTTTTAATACAGAATTTTATTATTGGGGAGATTCCTTTTAAAAACTTAATTAGTTAAGATAAAAAAATGCATATAATGACTCAAGAAAATCAGTTTTAATTCAGAATTTGATTATTGGGGCCATTTTTACCTACCTGTCATATGGGGCCATTTTTACCGGGGCCATTTTTTCCAGGGCCATTATTTCCGGGGCCATTTTTTCCGGGGCCATTTTTTCCGGGGCCATTTTTTCCGGGGCCATTCTTACCGTACACCCTTTATAGGCTAGGCCTATGCTACTGTTATTATTATCATTATTACCAAAACTCCCTCATATTTACAACAATTTGCATTGATCTGTTAAATGCTTCTATTTATGTGAACAAATTAAGATTTCTTTCGGTAATGTTGCAGAACAGAATAAATTTTTTTTTTTTCTCAATTTCCAATTCCCAGCAGCGGGTGAGCTAACTGGTCAAAAATAAAATTTTATTTTTATTTTAAATCTTCATCTTCGTCGAACAGTGGATTTGCAAAACAAAATATCAATACATTCATGTCGAAGGAAAATACAACATTTAAAATGTGGGTAGAAAATTTTAAGATACATTTTCAATAAACGGCAAAATCTGCTTAATTATTATGATTTAAAATTTTAAAACAATGAAAGCATTATTCATATTCCAACTGACAGTTCTTGTTTATTTTGCCCTGCCCCTCAATTTTTATTTTG